CCCCAAAACCCCAAAACCCCAAAACCCCAAAACCCCTAATTCCTCCTCAAGGCTGAATTATATAATTTTATTTTATATATGGACCATTCTAGTCCAAGAAAGAAGGGGAGTAATCTTAACCGAAGTACCATGGTCAACCCCAGACTGAGCTTACAGAGCAACTCTGACTCAGATGATGCCTCTCCAGACCCTGGTAAGAGAATCAAATTACCCGAAATAATTCTGAACAAACTCGTAACCACCAAGGCAAGTGATGCATTTACTAATATTCCTGGCTTCAAAACAACGAAATCAGTGACCAAAAGAGCAAAGACTGAGAAATAAGAAATCAAAACGTGATTACTCTGTTGATTCTAAAATTAAATAAGAACATTCTCTTCCAGCCAATCAATGACAAGAAGTCCAAGGCAAAGGTCAACACTAAAGTTATGGAGGCTTGGATTGAGGATACTCTCACTCAAGCAGAGCATTTTGAAATCCCTTCGGTCATCACTAAGCCGAGTCATAAGAAACCTATCACTAGGTATGGAATAGACCGGCTGACTCTTTCAAAAGCCGGCATTTCAGATGAGACTATTGACAGAATTTATCGTTCTTTGTTCGTCCATTCAGTTGGGTTCCATGAATTGATCAAAACGTGCCTACAGCATACAAAGAATAGGTTCGAGCATATCACATCCATCTGGAAGGTCTACTCTGTGCTGCTAGAGTACAGCTGCAAGTCAGATTACAAAATGTTGGTTGACCAAGTTTCCATCCAAAACGAAGAGAGAATGAAGCAAATGGAAACTGATCACAACAACAAACTTGAAGAAATGAAAGAGGATGAACGTATCCTTAAAGATGAAATGAACGTCATGCAGAAATACTCCACCGTCCTGGAGCGAGAGAAGCTTGACGAGAAGAACTTCCGGATCAAACTTGAGGAAGAACTTCTGCAGAACTCTAAAAATCATGAGGAAGAAGTCCAACTGAGGCTTAAATTTGAATCCAAACTGAACAATATGCACTCGATTCATCGTGATTTAGGAACCAAATACAGAAGAGCACTACTTGACATTGAGACTCTGCAGAATACCAATGAATTGTTGAACACTAAGAAAATCGAGATCATCCAAGAACTTAACGGCATCAAGACCCAGTTCGCTGAGCAAGAAAACAAGCTAGCTTATGATAAGGAGAAGATCATCGCTCTTGAGAAGGAGAATGCTATTAAGGTTGAACAAGTCCAAGATCTGCTGATAAAAACTGCTCAAATGCAGGAGAAATATGACAAACTGCAGTACCAGTATCAGCTATCACTCAAAAACGTCTCTGAGCAGAAGCTTAGTATTGATGTGCTGAAGTCTCAAATCCAGGCACTCAAGAATGAAAAGACTCATCTCCGCCAAAGCGAGGTTGAGTCAAGAATGCTCAAAGAGACATTCGAGGACAGGCTGAAGGACACCACTGAAGAACTCCGGTCCATCAAAGAGGTACTACAGGTCTCTGAACGTGAAGTCCTAGGTTTCAACGAAATTCGTAAAGAAAGAGAGGAAAGAATCGATAAACTCAAAAACGAACTTGAAAGTCTTAAAATCCTTCACAATAGGACTGATTCCAACCTAGCCAAGACCTCTATTGATCTTGAAAAGACCCTTGGGCAATTAGAAACATTGCGTGAAGAGTACTCACAAGTTGTGGAGAAGCTTAAGAAGATCAACAAGGCTAGAAATGAGAAAATTAACCAACTGAACAACGAACAGGACCTAACCGATTTTCTTAAGAAGGAGAACCAGAGCCTGAAGGATATCATCAAGGAACGGGACAGCACAATTTGCGAGAATGAAGAAACAATTCAGTCTAAAGATAAGCAGATCCACAAGATGACATCTGAGAGGATAACTCGGGATAAGAGCAATGCTCTTCAAATGAACCAGCTAAATGAGAAGATCATCAGTATCTCAGGATTGCTCGTAGAAGAGCAACAGTTAAAGGAACAGTGGATGGATAAGTATCAAAAAGAGCAGAAAGAGCATTCTGCTACTAATAATATCCTCCTTTCTGAGAAGTCGACTAATAAGGACCTAGAGCTCAAGATCAAGGATGTAGAGATCCGTCTAGCTAATGCTGAGAGGACCAATGGGCATTATGAGAAGACACTCAATAATATGCAAGAGAGAGCTAATAATTTCATGAGCAAGTACGAAAATTCTGAGAGAGATCTTAAAGCCAAAAAGCATCAAATAGTGCAACTCACAGAGCAAAAGGAACAGCTTTTGAAACTGAAGGAAGATCAGGCATCTTCTCATGATGAAGAGCTAACATTAATTGTGACTCAACATGAAATGCATTATGAAGACTTGCTTTCTTATCTTACTAAGATAAAGACTCGTTCAGAAACTTTAGAAAAAGAGAATGAGGCCATCAGCTCTAAATATAACCAACGTGAGACTGAAGTAGCTAATATCCTTAACACTGGAGCTGAAAGAGCTGCAGAAGTGGCTAAGCTTAACGACCAGATCAAAGAAATGGAGTCAGATTCTAATTTAGGTAAAATAAAAGAGCTAGAAGAGAAACTGGCTAAGCTCAAAACAGCAAAGGATGCTCTAGAACAAAAGAATATTAGGCTAAATGTAGATCTTGACAAAGCCAATGAGAGGATGAAGCAGATTTATAAGGAATATGGCTTCAAGCAGAGAAATATGGATAGTAGGAATGAAGGAGAGGGATATGGGTATGATGAAAGCGAAGAGGGGCAAATTGAGTCTAGGAGTAGAGATAGAGGGGATATAAGCAATGGAGTGAGTTTGGGAGAGGGAGATGTATCTGGAGATGTGAAGATTGTTTCTGGGAGAGAAGAGGAAGTTGAAAAAGAGAGAGATGAATATGTAGGGAAAGTTGATGGAGAGAAACAAGAAGAGGGTGAGAAAGTTTCTGGTTCAAAGAATTTAATGAATGATGGTAAAATTAATCCTACTATTGAAGAAGGTAAGCAACTTTGTCTTAAAAATTATTTAAACAAAATACTAATGATCTTACTTTTCTAAACCATATACTCAGTCTCTCTCAATACAATTTTTCCCTATCGTCACCTTCATAGCTTAAAATTTCGAAATCTCTTCAAATTATTTTCTCCTTCTGAAAACACTCGAAACTCAATGTTTGATTTTCAAATCTCTCTACTCGAACAACTTCCCAAATTTTGTTTCAGCCTAGGCTGCTATTTTGAAAGCCTTTTAACACAAAATTTAGCTGAAGAGACTGAAGAGAAAGAGTCAAATAAACTTCCCTCGGGAAGCAAGACTGAGTCCTTGCCACCAGATTCAACTCCTGAGAGTCGAGGTATTAATCATGATATTTTGGGCAATTTTAACTTTATTTAGGAGCTTCCAACCATTCTGCAAAAGCAATAAATGCTCACGAGAGCGAGGCAAGTCTTAAGCAACCCTCGAAAGAGCCAGAGGTGAAGGAAGTCACATTTCGATCTATTAAGGGATCTGATAGAGGATCCCCAGTCGATCTGATGATCCAAGGATCCCATATTAATAAGAGTCAGCAATCGAAGGTCACTAAGAACACTTCTAATAGTAGCAAGAAGCAAGATACTGGCGATAAAGGCACTCAAGCTAGAATCCATACAAAGGAGCAAGAGATCGATGCTGATTTTGAATTGATCAGGCCTATTATTGAAGAAAACTTACGCCAAATTTTAGCTAATGAAAATCAAGGAAGTCCTCCTAGAAATACTTCAGAGCGATCAATGCCAATAGCTCACGAGGGTAGTGACGCTAATGAGTCAAGAATAAACTATATGAAACGAGAATTGTCCCAAGAGACCTATCTACCCCCTGAAATCCAACATACAGAGCCATCCGAGCACCTATTGCCCAAAAACGGTCAACGAGGTAGTGTTCTTCAGCACTATAACAACAATAACAGTCCTATTCTCAGCAAGAACTCCATTCATCACATGAGTAATCACTCGACGATTATCACAAATTCTATCAGACAAGAGCTTTCTCACTTCGGAGTTGGTCAGAGGCAGCATTTCAACAACTCCCCTTCAAACCTTCGTGAATTCAATCAGTCAGCTGCGCTGACTGACGAAATACAGAATACTCAAAGAAGCGATGAGCTGCTGAATACCTCCACTGACATGGAGCCAACGCAGCGCCAGTCGGTGTATCAAAAGGGAAGTCCCAAGAAGCAGCAGCTTCCTGAGAAGTCTCAGCTGAAGAACAGACAGAACCTCCTGAAGGTCTCCCAGCAACCTGGCTATATAGACAAAGAGCAAGCCATCATTGAGCTGCCTAATAGAGAAGAACTAATGAGTAACCCGAGATCACGTGAACAATCCCACCAAAAAGTTTCAAGACGGAGATTTAATAAGAGTAAGACTATTACTAAACCATTTAGAACCTGAAGGAACAGAAGGTCTCATGAGAAGCCGCTACCTTGAACAAGAAGAAGAACACAAGTTAGAGGGTTATGAGACTTATGATAACAGTGAGACTCCTAACCCAACACCCTACCCTTCTTGTAAGAGTCTTATCTGATCTATAGCAACTACTAAGCCGATGAAGATTAAGGTTAAGAAGGAATCAGAAAGATATGGAAAGCTTAAACTAAAGTCAAGGCCGAACATTGGGCCACTAATCAAGGCCGCTACTTCAAGAGATAGCTAACCATTTATCAAATAAATGAATTTCAATACCTAGGCTTATTGCTGGGGTTTTGGGGTTTTGGGGTTTTGGGGTTTTGGGGTTTTGGGG